GAAGACTGCATACTACTTATCTGCTGCTCCAATGAAGAAATTTTTTGCTCTTGCATGGCCATTTCACTTTTACAAACAGACACTTCATTGATGAGAGCTTCCTGTTCTTCCACGTTTAAAAGAGTAGAGTCTGCTGTAGCATTTAGGGAACCGCTAAGATCAGTATTATTCTTAACATCCCTAGCATCCTTAACATCCTGCTGTAGTTGTAGAATTTGTTCCCTTAACTGCTCCATTTCTATGGCTGCATTCATAATTTCTTGGTTCCTGGCATCAAGGTCCTTGGTTAACTGGTTATTTGAAGTCTGAAGAGCAGTTATTTCAGCCTTTGAAGAGTCTTTCTCAGCTGCTTCTAATGCAGCAACGGCTTCAGACCTACTGAGTTGTTCTTTAATTTTTTTCATTTCAGAAGTTGTTTGGACAAGTTCTTTGTCCTTTTCATCCAGTTTCTTGGTCAAAGCCTCATAATGATGCCTCAGGGTTTCTAATTCGCTTTTGACTGCACTTAAATCTTCATTTAATTTTGTAGAGTCTGTATGTGCGTTTCTTAAACTTGCAACCTGATGTTCTAGCTTGCAAAGGTTTTCTTGTTTAAGGGCTAGTTCTTTTACAAGCAAATTCTTACTAGATTGTAAATCTTTACATTGTTCTTCTAAAACCTGAACTTGGTTAGTTAATTCCTTTTCTTTGATGGATAGTTCATTCACAAGCAAATTCTTGCTAGATTGTAGTTCTTTACACTGTTCTTCTAAATACTGGACTTGTTGTGTTAATTCCTCCATAGAAGGCTCTTCTTGCAAGGAGTAGAGATTACCATTGTAGTTTTTACGGAATGTTGGCTGATGCAGGGTGCTGGATTCAAGGCGGGCATCCTGTTGGGATTTAAGAAGAATTAATTTGGGAATGCCTAGCCACATAAAAACTTCTAGGTACCATCTGAAGGGGACCCAGGTCTCCTCTTTCAGGGATAATATCAATTAGCCTTATGACATTCAATGTTTTAGACAATGTTTGAGTCCTAGAATGAAGGGGCAGACAAAAACTACTGTAGATCACAAACATACCTCCAGGGCTTGAGCCATTTCTTTTATCTTGCTTTCATACTTTGAAATTCGCATCTGAAGTTGAATATCAAAATCTTCTTTTTCATTATTAAGGTGAAAAATACGTTCTTCATGCTTTTTCTAATCAAAAATGAGAGAGAAAGAGGGAGATTAGCACTAACAATATGATAACATTTCAACTACAATATTTTTTTTTTTTAAATGTATGATTACCAGTTTTGATGTTAACTCAGAATTCTCTTTTCTTGCTTTTATTAGGTGTTTTTCAGCTTCAGAAAGTTGTGCTTTCACCTTTTCTATATCCTGACACTGAAGTGTAAGATCTCCAAGCTGCTGTCTCATAGATGAATTCTCGTCTCTTAATGTTGACATAGCCCTAGAACAAAGACAAAAAACATGTAACATTTTCACACAGCAAATGGTGTTTCAGAAATAGACAAAGAGAGTTACTTCGATGAGTCCATCAGCATCATTTGGTAATCATGAGCTGTGCGATCAGTTTGCTTCATGCATTCTAATTGCTTCTTCACTTCCTTCAGTGATTCACATTCAGAAAGTGCTTCTTTCAGCTGAAGTTTAACTTTTTCAAGCTCAGTACTAAGTTCTTCATTCTAGAGAAAAGACTTGAAAATTGGTATAAGGAAATACGTAAAGTACAAAAATGCAGTAATATAACAATTGAACTTACATACACCTGCTTCTCTAACCGAGTAAACTCATCCATTTCCCGCAATTCTTGTTCCACAAGAGCTATCTTTGATCGCAACTTTGAAGGTGGTGTCTCAGGAACTTCAGCTTCTTGAAATCTACTGTTATTCAAACAAGGTGACATAAGATCTGGAGACACCTGAACTAAAATGAAACAACACAAAAGCTTGCAGGTATACTTACTTCAGATGTCCTTTATTTCTCCTAGTCTGAACATAATTCAGGCAAGGCTGATCATCTCTTTCTGGTGACTTTGAGAATCTATCCTCATCAATGTCTTCAATGGGAGGTAGCCACTCTCCCACATCCATTGACTTGGCTCTTTCGGCTTTAATTAAGGCTTTCTCAAACTCTTCAAGAGGTGTTGAAAAAACATCTATCGGGAAATAAGTAAGATAGAAAACCTAATACACTTAAAAAGTGCAGCTTATACTACAACAGCATTAACGTACCTTCTCCAATATCAGTATCATCATTATTAGATGCTGAGCTGACAGAGAAGTCCATTTGAATGTCATTAGGAAGCTCTGCCAAGGAGCCTGCTTTATGAAATGCTGGAAATGCTAAAGACAGCCTAGCCTTGTTACGATTGGGGGCAGACCAAGTTCTGCGACGAAGCTTTCTTATCTTCTACCAAATTAGTGAGGATGAAATAAGATGAGAATATTGAAAATGTAGTCAAGCATAATAATGTAAATCAATGATTATAACTTTACCTCTTGAGCTTTGTCGGCATTAGAAAATTCAGAATTGGATCCAAGGATTCCGTCTTTGAGTCTGTTTAATCTTTCATTCAACAGAGAATTTTCTTTTTGAAGATGCTGGTTTTCAGCATTTTTCTGCTGCTCCAAAGTCTGTTGATCAAAACAAAAATTCAATTTGAACTAAGAACTGCAAGACAATATTAGGTAGAAAAGAATTGCTTACACAAATTAAAAAATGCATCTTACACTCAGTGCAGAATTAAGTCTGTCTATTTGTTTCATGTAACGTTTCAGCATAGCTCTGTCTGAAACAACTTCATTAACTTGAGCTTTGTTTTTAATATTTCGTGCTCTAGAGGCAAAACTACAGGCAGAGGAAAAAAAGTTTTACAAAAAAGCAAAATATAAAGCTGAACACATAGCACATACACCAGAAACCGTATTAGAATAACATCTTTACTCACCCAAGTGTGCTGCTAGTTTCATCAATTGCAGCTGGAGTAATGGCACATATTATTGACGTTAGAGCATTACCCCCCAAGGAGCTCTGTAATATTCTAGTGAGCTTGCTGTCCCTAAAGTTGACGAAGGACACACTGAAACACATAATACACGCAAATGAGAATTATTGAAGTGGAAGCCAAGTTTTTAAGGTGTGTTTTACTTACTCTCCATCGCTAAGCTGAGAGATGACTTTTCCCAGGGTGAAAAGGGATTTATTAATCGCACAACCCTCTTTAAATTGATCACCCACAGATCCAGTGGCTCCAGCTCGCTCAGAACCAGCAAGGTCTACTAGATTTAAATGTGATACCTGGATGGCCTCTTCAGCATCGTTACCACCTACTTGTCTGCTTTCAATAATCTAAGAACAGAAGTTTTAAATTACTTTGCATCATCTATTAAAGAAAATAACAAAACAAATCCAACTTACAATTCTAAATATGGAATGTGAACGAGAGCTTCTCTCATTCATATTAGTCACACCGATTTTTCTAATGTTTTCTCCCTTCCTCATTAAGTCCATGACCTGAAAAGCAGATTGTGACATCATAATCTCTATTGACAGTAAATATGCCAACATCAGTACATGATTTGACCAACCATCTGTGAGCTATTAGTGATAGCTTCTTCCAACTCTTTGACAATAACATTGCCTTGAGCATCTTCTGAAACTTTTAAGTTATTCGACTTTGCCAAGAGATCATTTACTTTTTCATTGTAAATTTCCATGTAACAGACCCTGAGGAAGATACGACAATCATTAAAACATATTGTTTAAGTATCCATCAAAGGGCAAATCATGGCTTGCAGCGTACCGTAACAGAAATTCCCGCCCATGAGTATTTTCAATAGTTTGAAATACCAAGTCCACAGCTTGGGGGATGATTCCTGGCTCATATTGATCTCCCATCATGGTATATGTCTTCCCTGAAGAAGAGCATGTTATAAAGTATCTGAACCCAAAGGGTACAAAAAGTGAAAGAAGCACTAAACATAATACAAATTACCGGACGCGGTCTGCCCGTACGCAAAAATGGTGCCATTAAAACCACGAACTGCAGACTCCACAATTGGCTTGACCAGAATCTCGAACACCTCACGGTTTGAAGAGTCAGGGCCGAAGACATTATCTTTGAATGAGATAAAGATGTAAAGAACAGTGCGAACCTCAAAAAAAAAAAAACTCGCCCGAGAGATTTATACTCAAACAAGTTGAAAACATAAAGCAACGTTACCAAAGACATAAGGGTCCCCTTTCTGTCGCTGGCTGCCAGGTTCAACCTGGCAAACTGAAGTATCTGACGCTGCTAGCCAGTGAATATCACAATTTGCAGCTTTCTCTCTTGGAATCAAGGGTCGGATTTTAACACCGACCTTAATTCGGTCCATGGTTTCACACTACACTATGGCCCGGCAGCTGACATTTGGCGCGAACTAGAATAGAGTCATTATTCACGATACGGAATAAAAACACACAACACACAGAATCATCCTTATCCCATCACATGCAACAAGATTCCACCAACGGCTACTGTACAAATTCAAAGTTTTCAACAAAACCGGCGTTGCGTCTCGATTGTTGGTGTAAATTCTTCGTGATTGGTGCTCCACAGGTTGGTTTCTTGCAATGTCAGAGGGCTTAGGCTGAGAGGGCTGGGCTCGATGCTCAGATGTTGGATTTCAGTTGTAGTTTTGTTTTTGTATTTTTGTTTGCAATGCAGACGACGGACTGAGACGAGGAAGGGGCAGGCTGAGGCTGAGAGGCTAAAGACCAAAAAGAACAGAATTTTTCACATTTAATCCGTGTTGTCACCTTAAAAACGATCAAAATGTTGTTTCCCGGTGCTCTGATGTTTATTTCGTATGCTGCAAGTCTCCTGACAATCGGACTCTGTCTCGTCTTAAAAGTTCCGCAGATTATTAACCTGTACCAAGTGAAGAACGCAAATGCTATGAGCATTAAGAGCCTAGTTTTGGAGCTGACTAGGTGACACTTGCCCTTCAATTTTTACTCACCAACTAAATGATTGAATGTACATTCAGGGGGTCGCAACGCAGTGCAGAGAGCGCGGCCTATGCGCGAGCCCCGGAAGTCGCCGCCCGGACGGCGCGAACCGGCCGTTCAAACCACGGCTCAGTGCTCCTCACTGCAGATTAGCTATGTTTAAAATACTTTGCCATACAAGAATCGTTAAGGAAAGTTTTCAACACGTTGCCGCAGGTCACAAGGAGCTGGAATATAACAAGACCTCACCTATTTCGCGTCTTTTATCTTGTTAATGAACA